TCAGCATCAGTATTCTTTTCACTGCATTATGCTGCCTTCTCCTTTGTTAGGGCCCTCAGTCAACAAGATTTTTTTAGGTATGCTGGTCTCCCAGACATTAAAGGACCAGCCAGAGACTTGAACCCTCCATGGTGGATTAGACCAGTCTAAAGAATTTCTTCTCCCTCCTCTCTACTGTAGATGCTTAGTGTCTTTTTCCATAATTCTGCAATCATTAAAACTTTAGGAAAATTTAGTTTTTTAATGTTTGGAACAAATTTAGTGGCAAAATTATTCCTGAAACAGAGGAAGTTTATATGTAGTCAATGTATTCTACTTAGAGTGAATAGCCATAAGTTTCACTCCATAAATATCTATGTATTTGATAAGGATCAGCAAACTTTTGATGTAAATGTCCAGATAGTAAATATTATAGGCTATGTGGACCTTACTGTCTCTGTTCCAACTTCTCAACTCTGCCATTGTAGCATGAAAGCTGCCACAGACAGCTTTCATTTATCATGTAAATGAAGGTGTGGCTGAGTTCCAGTAAAACTTTATTTACAAAAACAGGTGGCAGGTTGGGCTTGACCCACTGGCCATAGTTTGTCAACCCCTATACTAAAGGGTGATGCCCAGATCTGTTGGGACTATTGCATAGTGCACCAGATATGTACTTCCTGAATTTCGAAACATGTCAGACCTCAGGTGTTTTTGCTAAGGGATCAGGAGCCTGTATCTAAAATTTAAAGGAAATTTTATAGAGAAGAAAGTTGTCTCTACTGTAGTTAAGCATTAAAGTCCTTGTATACAGATGACTAGAGGTGTGACTAAGATTCAGATCTTGCTAATGCATTAATCAGGATGAGTTCTGTAAGCCACAAAGTGTTTAAACACATGGGTTCATATTTGTCCCATGTGAGATGAAGTTCAGAGATAGGTGGTCCAGAGCTGATTCAAGAACTAAGTGATTCCCTTAAGGTTCCAGCCTTTGTCTATATTTATTCTCCAGTATCCTTAGTTGATAAGCCTTCATCCCTACACATATTGCCTCATGGTTGCAGTATAGGTGCTGCACCTCCAGGTATCACATGCACACTCCAAACAGAAAGAAAAAGAAGGAAGCAGGGACAAGTGTATTTATTAGAGAAGCAGAAACCTCCAAATCTCAATATACTTCTTGTTGGACTAAACTGTGTCACAAGCCTACCTCTAATTGTAAGAAAGACTCAGAAAGCAAGTATTTTTAGTTGAGTTTATTTTCATTACTCTCCAAAATCAGGAGAAAGGATGTTGGGTGAGCAAGTTGCACACCATCTGCTGAGGCATCTGTTCTTGTTTTGGTGGCTGTTATATTTCATTACAGATATTTAGTTGTATCATCATCTCCCCTGGGCAACATATCTTTTTAAGTATCCCCAGTGTTAGCAGCTTGCTTTCCATCGGAGTTGAAAAATTAAATAACATTATTCACATTTTTATGTAAATGTTGTATAATATGCATGTATAGTCAACTGGGAGTTGTCTTCAGAAGTGTATTTTCCTGAGGACTTTAATTTTGGAGAGCTTTGTTTTGATGTGTTCTTCAGTGTGTGGGTTAGCAAGGTTTAAGGAAAGAACGAAGTTGAAATACATGCAGGGCAAGTTGCACACTGAACTTTGTGAGCAAGTCTTTGTTCTGATGGAGGATGACTGCTCCTTAGAGCAAGATTTTATGAACTCGAATACTTTAAGAAGGAACAGTTAGTTACTCAATAACTTTCTTAAAATGTGGATCTGATACCATTTGAGAGAAAAGCAATTAAAAAGACATGCAGAGAACATTTCAGTTCTTAGTTGTGTATCTTGGGATTTCTTTCCTTTCCTCTGAAGTAGTATTTATTCTCTTTCTGGAAACAGAGCATTTAACTTACTCTTTGTCCTAGACTACCATAAGAAAAAACAGAAGTACCTACACAATTTTGTCTTTTTGCTTTAGTAGCCTTTCCTAAAATGGCACAAGTGGGGAATAGTATTAAAATAAATATATTATTGTTTAGATTTTGAATGTAAGTGAATTTTTTTAACCTAAATTCTGTAACACTGAAT